ACCACCACCACCACCACCACCACCACCACCACCACCAATAATTACTCCTCCCTAGGAGTTGGAAGAGATCATCACCCGGACCTCCTCACTCCCCCGGGCCTCTTTAAGAGCAGAGTAGCAAGCCTGCCTGCCTGCTTCCGAACTCTTGTGAGATTCTTTCGTGTCAGGAGAGTTTGGCCACCATTTCTGGTGGTTTGTTACCAGAGTATCCAAAACGATGGCCAAGCCCTCGCTGAAGGAAGTGACCTTGTGAGGGTTCAGGGAGCCCTGTGGGGCATGCATGGATCAGTGGCCTATTTTATTTAAAGAGAGCTGGGCTGGAGAAGAGGTAAAGAGGGTTATCACAACTGGTTCCTGGCTGGGGGCACGAGGGTTGCCAGCTCTGAATGGGGAAATACTGAAGAGAGGAAGGGGAGGAAGGGAGATTCTGCAAAATTTCAGAATTTCACTCTACAAATGCTTAGAGAAAGGCCATGTCTTCCCAAACTTTCGTGTCCTCCTGCCAGAGTACGAACCTGCCCCCTGTAGCATAAAACAACTGAAAGGGCTGAAGTTCCGAAAGGGTGCGTTGATTTCTTCATGAGGACAATTGATGGAGAAATCCTTGTTTTAAAACCAAAATCCTATATATAAATAAAAGCCCAGCCATTTTCTCCAGGGGGAGAGAGATCTGTTGTCTGGAGTTCTGTCGTGATACCTGGCCATCTTCAGGCTCCACCTGGAGGTTATATACAAAAATATATATCACTGTGTACAATAAATATATGCTTGTGGTAGAACAATTTTATACTTTATTCTTTTTCTTTTTATATTTTTCAGTACTGTTGTCTAAATACTGGTATCAAATATTATCAAAAATGTATTTCGCCCAAACAATACATTTGAGTGCAGGTTTACATTCAGACAGCACCTTGTCAGTATCACTATCACCAGTCCCACAGGACTCTAGTAATTTACCGGTTTCGATTGAATTTCTTTCAAGGACAGTGATGTATAGATAAAGGACATAAGGCGCAATATTTTTTTCTTTCTGAGCACAAAAGCTCTTAAGATAGCAGCATTGTCTAGGGTCCCATCAGAACTGGAATACATAGAAATATTAATACATCAATACAATTTCATTCCACCTTATTTATAATTATTAAAATTCTGAAAAGTGGTGCGAGCATGGAGGGGTTCCCAGGTCGTTCCCACCCTGATGGTACGTTAGAAAAGGAGCCTTCTGGGTTTCCGTTTTCGTTGCCCCGGAATCTCACACCCCTTGTTTGCTGGGCCGATTTTCTTTATTTTGGGGGGGAGGCGGGAAGGGTGGGTACCTGGGATTGTCTCTGAGTCCGTGATGAAGCCACGGTCTTGACGGTTTTCACCGTGAGCCAATAGCAGCTCACCCCTCCCCCTCCCTGTTTTATCGTGATTTGGGAAAGTTTGCAGTGTCGTGATTTGGGCCAACAGATAACCAGCAGGTGGCTGGTTGATGACCATCAGCAAAGCATCTAATACTTATGCTTTGTTTCAAACTTCTGCAATCTTTGGCCTGTTACATGGCTTATCAGAGGTCTCACTCTTGGTTATTAGATGCCTCTTCTTCTCAGTGAGGAAGGCAGACTCTGTGTGTTTGTGTGTGTGTCTGTGTGTGAAGTGCCATCAAGTTCAAGCAGACTAATGGCAGCCCTGTAGGGTTTTTAAGGCAAGAGATGTTCAGAGGTGGTTTGCCCCTGCCTGTTTCTGCGTAACAACCCTGGAGGACTTCCTTGGTGGTTTCCCATCCAAGCATTAACCAGGGCCAACCCTGCTTAGCTTATGAGATCTGACAAGATCCACCTAGCTAGTTTGATATAGTGGTTAAGAGTGGCAGACTCTAATCTGGAGAACCGGGTTTGATTCCCCACGCCTCCACATGCAGTCAGCTGGGTGACCTTGGGTCAGTCACAGTTCTCTCAGAGCTCTCTCAGCCCCACCTACCTCACAGGGTGTCTGTTGTGGGGAGAGGAAGAGAAGGCAATTGTAAGCCACTCTAAGACTCTGAGTGAAGGGCGGGGTATAAATCCAATCTCCTCCTCCTCCTCCTTCCGATGCCTCTACTACTGGTACTAGTACTATCCAGGTCAGGGCGTTGTCTCCATTATATGACAAAAAGCCCTAATCTGGCAACTAGAAGGGATGGAGGAGGGGGGTGGTCAACTAGAATCCCTCCAGTTGCTCACAACAAGATTACTGAATGTGTCTCGGGAAGCTTTTCTGGGGAATGAGAGGTCGCCCTGTGGTCTGTCCTAGCCATTTGGGAGCATTGGGGAGGAAATAGCTTTCTACACTGTCTTCCAGCAGGCAATCCTGAATGTTAGTTACCTTCATGTTTGGGAACTGTAAAGGTTTCTGCTGCTGATTAAATCCTGGCCCATTTCTGGCCCCACTGCTGGACCTCCTGATGGCACCTGGGTTTTGGCCACTGTGTGATGCAGAGTGTTGGACTGGATGGGCCACTGGCCTGATCCGACATGGCATCTTTTATGTTCTCTTTCTTTCGCAGGATATGGTTACGAGAAGCAGATGCGGCCATTTGCGGACGATGTTTGCGTTGTCCCAGAGAAGCTTGAAGGTTAGAAACAACATCCTGCTCAACTTGAGCAATGGGCTGAGCTCTCTCTCTTCTCCCCCCCTACCCCAGCTTCCCCACACTCAGGAAATGCATGTTGGAACAGAAGAGACATCGGCTCAGTAGTCTGGATCGCGTGGACCGTTTCCACTCTTGCATGAACTGGGTCACCAAGTCATTGCAAGTCGCCCAGGCGGCTTGTCAGCTCGACTGTACCCCATCTCACTTCCAAACCGGACTGTAACGACTGCATAAAATGTAATGCTTAACTTTTGTGCACCGGGCAAAGTGTGACAATCAGCTTGGGCAATGGTGAAAGGAAAGCACGTGCAGGATGATGCCATTAATCCCAAGCCTTCTTCGCAGGGCCCATGGACATGATCCCTCCCCTTTCTTTCTGTGCCCTCTCTCTCTCTCCCCCAAGCCTTTCCCAAGAGAGAGGAGCAGGTCACTCAGAGTAAAGCATGGCTCTTGGCATAGACAAGCCCCCGGTCCCAGACTCATGGCGAACCCCCCATTAATATATTTTGAAAGATCACTTATGCCTAGGAGTAGGACCCCACGCCACACTTGCAGTTTTGATGTGTCTGTCACAGAATCTTGGAAGTTGCACTTGCCAGTCCATCACGCCTGAATTCTGGCTTTACAGCATGTGGGCTGAGAGAGACAGTTTGGTGTAGTGGTTAAGTGCGCGGACTCTAATCTGGGAGAACCGGGTTTGATGCCACACTCTTCCACATGAAGCTGGCTGGGTGACCTTGGGTCAGCCACAGTTCTCACAGAGCTGTTCTTTTGAGCAGTTCTCTTAGCCCCACCCAGGGGTCTTGTTGTAGAAAAAGAGCTGCCGGAGCTCATTAGCATAACTCATTAGCATAACTTATTTGCATATGCCACGCCCCCTGACATCACCAGAAGTGACAGAAGGCCACACCCCCTGACATCACCGGAAGTGTGTCAGAAGGCCTGGCTACTTACCCTCCTGCTTCATCCTCATTCCCAAACGGAATGAGGATCGAAGCAGAGGGCGGGGTAAAGAAGGGGGCGGGGCTTCACCACGTGACCGCCCCGCCCCCTAGAGGTTCTCTTCCGGAGCTCCGTACCTGAGAGCTCCCCCCCGACTAGAGCCCTGGCCCCACCTACCACACAGGGTGTCTGTTGTAGGAAGAGGAAAGGAAGGCAATTGTAAGCCGCTTTGAAACACATGAAGCCAGCTGGGTGACCTTGGGTCAGTCACACTTCACTCAGAGCTGTCCTCTCAAGAGCAGTTCTCTCAGAGCTCTCTCAGCCCCACCTACCTCACAGGGTGTCGGTTGTGGGGAGAGGAAGCGAAGGAGATTGGGAAGGAGATTCTTTCAGAGCTGTCCTCTCAAGAGCAGTTCTTTCAGAGCTCTCTCAGCCCCACCTACCTCACATCTTGTCACTTGTGGGAAGAGGAAGGGAAGGAGATTGTAAGCCACTCCACAAGTGAAGGGTGGGGTATAAATCCAATCTCCTCCTTCTCACTATTTTTCTTTTTTTCTAGATTTTCTCTCCCCACCCCCACCCCCAGCACTTAATGTGAACCAGGTCTTCACCCTGAAACCTCTTTTGAATATGGCCCTGGATTATAGGAAGGGAGCATATACTCTGTGGGTGTATACAGAGTGCCAGAACTGATTTCCAGACCAGACTGACTGCCTTTCTTCTGATGCATTAAGCGTGGGGAGGTGGGACACAAAGAAAGACGGGGAGTTAAACTGTGCAGTCTCCGCCCCCCCACAGGAGACATCAAGCAAGAAGTGGGCACCTACCGCGAGGGGCCTCCTTATCAACGGCGGGGGTCTCTACAGCTCTGGCAGTTCCTTGTGGCGTTACTGGATGACCCCAGCAACTCCCACTTCATCGCTTGGACAGGCCGAGGGATGGAGTTCAAACTCATTGAACCAGAAGAGGTGAGGGGTCCCTGTCTCTCCCCCCTGCCCCCTTGACAAGCCTAAATCCTTATCAAGCTGTGGGCTGGTTGTTGCGGTTAAGGGAAGAGCACTCTGCACTTTCACAGAGGCCTCCTTCTCACCAGGTCATTCAAAAGCCACACTCTCCCATCTTGCTACTGGATAGAGAGGTCTGCCTTATGTTAAGCAGGGCACTCTCTCTAGTCTAGATTAGTCCTGTAGGCCAGTGTGGCGTAGTGGTTAGAGTACTGGACTATGATCTGGGAGACCCAGGTTCGAATCCCTACTCTGCTGTGGAAACTCTGTGGGTGACTGCCCTGACTTGTATAGCCCGGGCTAGCCCGATCTCGTCAGATCTCAGAAGCTAAGCCGGGTCGGCCTTGGCTAGTACTTGGAAGGGAGACCTCCAAGGAATACCAGAGCCAGGATGCAGGGGCAGGCAATGGCAAACCACCTCTGAAACGTCTCTTGCCTTAAAAACAAAGTCTAGCTCACCACCTAGTGGTGCATAATGCTAAAAGAGCTAGAACGTCTGGCTGCCAGACAATCTTAGGATCTCCTGGCTACACTGCTGTACAAAAATGGATTAATTCTGTGGGTGACCTGGGGCCAGTCACAGTCTCCGTCACATACTCTCAGCCTAACCTACCTCACAGGGTTGTTGCTGTGAGGATAAAACTCAGGAGGGGAGATCACTATGTAAGCTGCTTTTAAACAAGGCACTGATTTTCTTTCTCCCTTGTCTCTCTACACTGGGTCGGTCCTGCAGGTGGCACGGCTTTGGGGTATCCAGAAGAACCGCCCGGCGATGAACTATGACAAGCTGAGTCGGTCTCTTCGTTACTATTATGAGAAGGGAATTATGCAAAAGGTTGGTTTGCAGTCGGAACTGGGCGTTAGCATTCTGTTGCTATTTGAGCTTTGCACGTGAGACAGTGAGAGGTGGTGGTGGGACAGGGGTGGGCTTGTGCATTATGGAACATCTTGAAACCCCTTTTCCCCAGACCTCTGGAATACTGAGCATTCAAGAGCCAATGTGCTATTGTGGTTAGAGTGCTGGAGTAGAATCTGAGAGACCCAGGTTCGAATCCCTGCTCGGCCATGTTAGCTTGACCTTGGGGCAGTCACTCTCAGCCTAACCTACCTTACTAGGTTGCTGTTGTGAGGGTAAAAGGGAGGAGAGGAGAACAATACTCTTAAGTTGCTTTGGGTTCCCAGGGGAAGGGGGGAGACAAGCAGGGTATAAAAAAAAAAGCCAAGGAGAACCCTCCCAGAGAGCCAGTTTGGTGTAGTGGTGTAGTGGTTAAGTGTGCGGACTCTAATCTGGGAGAACCGGGTTTGATTCCCCACTCCTCCACCAGCAGCTGCTGATGTGACCTTGGGTCAGTCACAAGCTCTGGCACAGCTGTCCTTGAAAAAGAGCAGTTTCCGTCAGAGTTCTCTCAGCCCCACCCACCTCACAGGGTGTCTGTTGTGGGGAGGGGAAGGGAGAGGAGTTTGTAAGCCGCTCTGAGACACCTTTGGGTAGTGAAGGGCGGGGTATAAATCCAATCTCTTCTTTTTGTCTTCTTCTTTTTCCAATCATGCTAAGTTTCCATATACGATATTTGTTTTTCTTTTTGCATAGATGGGCAGTCAGCTGTGTTTGTCCCTGCTCAAGAGTTACAATTCAGATACAGGTTGACTACCTCACATGTTATTTGTTAGAACCAAGCCTAAATTAAAATGTGAGAGTACATAGGTTCACTCTGAAGGACTCTGGGTAATAGGGCAGCGGCCCTCCCGCCCCTTTAAAAAGCACTATAATCATACCAGCAGCAAAATGTTACTCATGGTCACCAAATCAGCAGACTCTCCCATAAGTTTCCAAGAAGATTGCCTTTTGGTCTGGGGAAGGGCAAAGACTGTACAACAATGTCGATCTCCCTGGGAATCCTGCCCAGTTCAGTGCTAACTTAATAAGGACTAGAAACTTACTTTCAATAGCACCTCGTGTGGTGTGGTTGTAGACTGCTCCCAGCCCAGGTTATTGGGGGTGGTGGTGGTTTCATGTATTATTTTGTTCCAAACAAGGACGGCTACCTGTAGCAGTTGTGTCTCCTCTCACAGGTGGCTGGCGAGCGTTACGTGTACAAGTTTGTTTGTGAGCCCGAAGCTCTCTTCTCGCTGGCCTTTCCCGACAATCAACGACCATCCCTGAAGGCAGAGTTTGAGTGGCACATCAGCGAAGAAGACACGGTGCCTCTCTCCCACTTAGATGAGGGGGTGGCCTACCTGCAAGATCTTGGGGGACAGCCTTACGGCAAAGGCTACACGTACTGACAGGACAGACGGTTCTGACATGGGCCGAGTTTGTGTGTACATATATATCAAGATCTTTGCCATTAATCACCAGTATAGATATTGCCTACCCTCTCCTAGGGTTGGAGCAAAATGTACAGTGGTACACCTTGGGGAGACGGGACCGAGGGCAGAGTTTGGGCGTGGGTTCCAGTCCCACCCCTAGCCATAGACTCAGTGGGATGACGCTGGAGCGAGTCGCTTCCCTCTCTTTTTTCAGCATCCATTCCTAAGGAGTACCTACCTCACAGGGATGTTGTGAGGAAAGATAAGATAAAGATTGTAAAGCACTTTGTACATTTTTTTTAGACTTCTGTGATGACTTATATGAAGTCCAAAGCCGGGAGAAGGAAGATCTGACTGGAAGTCCTTGGCAAATGCTGATTGAATGTGACGCTCCTCAGGCCGGGCCCTTGCTCCCAAATTTAAATCTGTGCTTGGATGACCGATTCTTTGAAAAGAAGAGTGGGTTTCATGCCAGCCAAGGCCAAACTACCCATCATGTTAGGCATTCCACAAAGAACAGCTGGAAAGCATATTGCAGCCCTATAAGTGTGTTGGGTTTTTTTGGGGAAAACACTTCAGTAGCTGCTGAAACTATAGCTTCTGAGGAGAAGCTGGTGGGGGAGAGGGGTTTTCCTCCACCCCATTTTCCCTGCTCCAGACCCCCCCCCCCCCCCCCCCCCAGGGAAGATCAGCTTGTCAGGCTGAAAAGCCTCTCACCTGTCTCCTCTGGGAAATTGGTAAAAGGGAAAAAAAATCTTTTAAATGTGTTCAGGTAGGTAGCCGTTTTGGTTTGAAGCAACAGGACAAAGTTGCATGCACACTTCATCAGACACCTGCACACGAAAGCTTATACCCGGAATTAAACTTTGTTGGTCTTAAAAGGTGTCACTGGACTCAAACTTTCATCTTTAAAGTGGTTACAGAACTACATATTGTTGGAAAATTGGTAAAAATAGTTAGATATTCAGAGTTTGCAATGGATCTTTGTTTACTGGAGAGGAGGCATTTTCTTTCTGTGTAAAAATCTTTATTTCTAAAGGGAAGGGTACACAGGAAATCTACAAAACAACAAACACTTAAGACTACATGTTTGCAACAACAGACACACAGATAGTAATGGAGATTCTTCCTTTCTCCTTGACCCCTAGAAGGAAATCACCTGAATGCATTAACCAATGATTGTTAGTAAATAGGCTTCAGTTTCCCGGCTTTCTTTCCATTGGCTTTCTGCCAAATTCCCTTCCAGGTCAGTCTAAACAATAGCACAAGGTAAAGCACATTAACCCTATAATGAGTGAATTTTAGACCTTGCAATACACATATTTCCAACACATATAATGTACCGTTCTGCCCTCGTGGGGTGACTGGTCTGTGTCCATTGCGTTCTTTACCGAGCCCACTGTGTCCTTGTAATGGAGTCTCCTGCCTTCAGTTTTGCCTCCCAAGACACGGCGGCGGCAGCCATCTTGCCAGCATATTTGAGGCAGATGGGAGTTTACACAAGATGAAGAATTCCAGAGGCGGGAGGCAGCATGTAAGTCCACCAGGTGGAACAGGACTGTGATCTGCCCCTGCCATGGCAAGTGTTTTGTCTCCAACAGGTCTGTGAGACACCCAAAAAATCCAACAGGTCCAGCTTTTACTAGCACACAGTGATTGCTGCCTATTGTACAGTTATGAAAGAACCATATCTTTTAGAGACAACGTCACAGAAGATGTGCCACCCACTCTGATATCCTTCTGAGTCTCCTTGCTCTGAGGATACCAGAGATGCCTTGGGAATTGAAGAGTGTTGGCTGAACTAGGCTGTGGTGTCTGAGGACACCCAGTTCTGCCATGCTCTTGCTGTAATCTTTGTCTGCTTTGGGGGATATACAACCCCAACCAGGGAGAGGTGCAGAGCTTGTTTTCTCTATATGGGGGGAAAAATAATAATTTCTCTCAGTGTTCCTACCCAGTTGCAGCTCTGAGTCAGGGAAATGACTGGGAACAAGATTGAGGAGGGACCCCAGTGAATGTGACGCCGTGTCCTCTTGCCTAGTATTTGGTGATCTCCACAGCCCCTAGAATTCAAGGGGGTGTCAGTACTTGCCTTGGTCCACAGAGGGTAGCTAAGAATTGAAGATTCTAATGCTGATGTGCTCATGGAGATCTGGACCTTGTATCTCCTCCTTACACAAAACTGATGCACAGAGATCAAGAGACGTGTTCAGGAAAAGCAGGTGTCTCTGCACAGCGGCTCATTCCCATTCGTGAAAGCCTCCCAAATCTCAGTGATGATAATGCAGGTAAACAGATGTGTAACACAAAGCGAGTATAACTTTACTTCTAGCTACCTCGCAGTGTTGCAGTGCCCCTGTCAGAACTATGCAGAGTGGCTGTGTAGGTGGTGATGTATAGTCTTGTAAAGGGCTTGATGTCAAGGATGTAAAGCCTCGTTCTTTCTCCCTGTTCCTTCTGCTCACCCTGGATTTAACAGGTTCCCCTTCTCTGACAATGCTTGGTTGGGGTCTTCCAAAACTTTGGTTGGACTCAATAACTCTCTTCCAAGTTGGCTAATGGCTCTCCTACTCAAAAGACATCTTCGAACTGAAAAAGCTTTATCAGAAGGAAGTCATTAGATCCACTTCTGAATATTCAGGGCTGGTGGGTTTTTTTCTTTTAAAAAATTAAACATGTACTGCTAGCAATAGACCCCGAATGTTGAATCTTTAGGAAGTGGAGAATACACTGTGTTATTCCCAGGGTCCTCCTGTGCAATTAGGCAATCCAAATTCCATACTATGCTGTGTATGCATTATCCTAAATGAGCAAATTTGCAGGATTTGTTATTTTAAATAATTTATTCTGTGCTCTCTCTTTTAAAAATATTTTGGGACCTTATTCACTGAACTGTTTACTGCTCAGAAAGTGTACCTGATGTCAGTGTTTGGGGGGACTGATACACGATGGCATTGTTTCTGTCTTGTCCTACAAGCCACATTGATTTGAGTTGCAATCAAGTGCCCCAGGCTGTTTTTCAAAGCAGTAACTTAGTGTTTGGAATGGCTATTGAAAGGAGCAAGAGTTTTGGGGGCATCATACCCATTTAATTGTGATACATTACAATCCAGGGGCTTGAGGTACCCTGGGCCTCCCCCTCAGTAAAAATTGTTTACAGACTAAAATTGGTTGTCCTCCTTACACAAAACTGATGCACAGAGATCAAGAGACGTGTTCAGGAAAAGCAGGTGTCTCTGCACAGCAGCTCATTCCCATTCGTGAAAGCCTCCCAAATCTCAGTGATGATAATGCAGTAAACAGATGTGTAACACAAAGCGAGTATAACTTCTAGCTACCTCGCAGTGTTGCAGTGCCCCTGTCAGAACTATGCAGAGTGGCTGTGTAGGTGGTGATGTAAAGTAAAGGGCTTGATGTCAAGTTCTTTCTCCCTGTTCCTTCTACTCACCCTGGAATGAACAGGTTCCCCTTCTCTGACAATGCTTGGTTGGGTTCTTCCAAAACTTTGGTTGGACTCAATAACTCTCTTCCAAGTTGGCTAATGGCTCTGCTACTCATAAGACATCTGCGAACTGAAGAAGCTTTATCAGAAGGAAGTCCACTCCTAAATAGTCAGGGCTGGTGGGTTTTTTTCTTTTAAAAAATTAAACATGTACTGCTAGCAATAGACCCCGAATGTTGAATCTTTAGGAAGTGGAGAAAAGAGCAGGTGGCAGGGTGAGGTTCCCTGTGCATTTGGTGTGTGTAACTTGCAGGGGGTCCATTCTATATACTTTTGAACCTGTGTCTGACATGTCCCCCCAAAAAACACTTCCCTGACTTGACCTTAGTCCTGTTGGGTTCACAGTGCCACAGTGGCACTAGTTCTGCTGGGCACATTGCACTGGTTCTGCTGGGCTTGCAAAAATGCCTCCAACCTTCAGTTTCTACTGCAGAGATTCTCTGGGACTTCGATTCTGTTCTGCATGGCTTCTGTTGTCCTTGCTTTTTTGCTGTTTTTCCCTCCATAGGAGCACCTTCTTTGGGGGGCTGTAACTTGGACCCCATAAATCCAATCCTCATCAAACTTGGAGGGCAAGTAGAGGAGAGTCATCTGGAGATCTCTTGCATGTTTGGCATCTTTAATTTGCACAGGATCCATTCTATACAATCCTGACCCTCATGAACCTGTGCTTGTCATTTCCCCAGAAAATGCTTTCCTGGGGACACCTTCTTTGGGGGAGCCATAACTCGAACCCCATAAATTCAATCCTCACCAACCTTGGCATGTAGGTAGAGGAGGGTTAGCCGGATATCCCTTGTGAGTTTGGTGTCTCTATCATGCTGAGGGGTGTTCTACCATGTCACAAACCTCACAAATGAAACTGGTTTATTTGTGATGTTTCATGGTTCATGAAGCTGGCATACCATGAACCATACCACATTTTCCCAGTTCATGCCCATCACTACTCAACACCAGTTCTCTAGGTGAAATCCATCTGGTTGTCCTCATGAATTACCCCTGCATTGACCCATGTGGATCTATAAGAACCAGATCATCACTGAGACAGTACCCTAAGACCACAATTGTACCTTTAAAGATTGACTACCTCTTTCAATAGTCTTTCAGTAGTCATGTATGGCTGCGAGAGTTGGACTATAAGGAAGGCCGAGCGCCGAAGAATAGATTCTTTTGAACTATGGTGCTGGAGAAGACTCTTGAGAGTCCCTTGGACTGCAAGAAGATCAAATCAGTCAATCCTAAAAGAAATCAACCCTGACTGTTCCCTGGAAGGCCAGATAATGAAACTGAAGCTCTAATACTTTGGCCACCCAATGAGAAGAGAGCACTCACTGGAGACCCTGATGCTGGGAAAGACTGAAGGTCACAGCAAAGGATGAGATGGTTAGACAGTGTCATAGATGCAACGAACATGAAGTTGAGCAAACTTCAGAGGACGGCGGAAGATCGGAAGGCCTGGCGTGATCTGGTCCATGGGGTCGCAAAGAATCGGACTTGACTGTGCGACTGAACAACAACAACATCCTAATTCATTCCTCCATGAACACAGGTTAGTGTGAATGCAAATTCTGTCTCGAGCACACAGTTTACATTGTTAATAAAAAATCTGTACCACTGGATTAGCCTGGCACATTTCAGTCCTGCCAAGCGGACATTTTAGAATCCAGTCTTTCAGGAAACGACACCTCTTTGATGATCACGTCACCCAAGATGGCCACTGCAGTTCCTTTTTGATTTTATATATTGCCTCAGTTTTATTGCTGCTGGTGGTTCTTTTCTCTCTTACATCATTTTCATACTGTTTCTATATCATACCACATTTCTATACAATGGATGTAAAAATAATCAACAAATGTGTTTATTGTCCTGAGGAAAAAGTTGATATTTGGAAAACAAAACTAGTGCAAAGATACTTGAGTTTGTTTTTCACAAGGAAGGAATGATGGTGGAAATGGGAATATTTAAACAACCAGACTTAATTTGGTGTCATCCCTACAGAAAACCCGTCTGTCTTAACACATGCTGTCCATCAATCAACACTAGATCACAGAAGGCATGACAGACAAGTTGGAAAGTTTTCTCTTAATATTGGCAGCTCATAATTCAGTAGTTGATTAATGCAATCCTGTGTCACCTCAGATACTTAAGGTAGCTCACAAAATAAAACTGGTAAAATCAAGCAACCATGAAACCATTAAGCTGGACAAGCCAGCAGTAGCCCAGCCAATAAAAGAACAAAGCATAAAACAAAAACCCAGAGTACAAAACATTTAGCAATCTAAATGGTCCTCCACATTCAGAGGCAGTAAACCTTTGCATACCAGTGCCAGGAAACCACATCAGGCCTCTATGCCCTACTGTTGGACCTCCAGAGGAACTGGTTAACTGCTGTGTGAGACAGGATACTGATGGACCACTGGCCTGATCCAGCAGGGCTCTTCTTATGCCCTTGTCCTTGTAACAGTCCTCAGCCTAGCAGTGATTTGTGAAACCAGTATAAAGGAAAAGCCTCAGTTAGAACTCTGGGTAGAGAGAAGTATTTTAGCCTGGCAAGTAGAAGACAGTAGAGCAAGTGCCAGGCAAGCTGCAAAGGGGAGACAGTTCTACAAGTCACCACTGAAAAGACTCTGCCTCTGGTAGCCACCCACTTTACCTCTTTAGGGTGCAGATGCTGTTAGATCTCATCTGGAGGACTTGAGAGTAGGAGGAGGAGGTTGTCTTCAAGCACCCTGGTCCCAAATTGTTTAGGATTTTTACAGGTAAGAACCTTGGAATTGTGCTGGAAATGTAGCTGTTCAGGATGGCACTGTCATGCCAAGATCAAAATGCATGAACTGGAATAATGTGCAAGGGGACTGTGATGGACTGATAAAAATGACCTTTAGACAAGAATGGGGAAGTTAGTGCTTCTTTTCCAATCATTTGGGTTGTAGAGTTGCCATCCTCCAGGTGGTGGCTGGTTGCTTTAGAAGAAAATGACCACTTTGGAAGGTGGAATCTAAGGCTTTATACCCCTCTGAAGTCCCTCCCCTCCCCAAGCCCCGCCCCTTAGGCTCCACCCTGCAAATCTTCAGGTGTTTCCTAACCCAGAGCTGGCAACTAGTTGCCAGGGGTGTCAAACTCATTTGTTATGAGGGCCGGATCTGACATAAACGAGACGTTGTTGGGCCAGGCCATGTGTGTCATAAAAGGTAATGCCAGGTAGCGGAGATATAAACTTTATAAAGGACACAGACAAACAGAATTAAAGATTTTTTTTAACTTTAAATACATTTCCGGTGAGTTTGACACCCCTGCATGAAGGGCAGGGTATTCAGTAGAAAGAGATTTTAAAACTGCTGAAGCAAATCGTGACAAAATATATAGCAAGTTACTAGAGGAAGAAGTCCTGAATTGTTTGTTTGGTACATTCGAAATGCCTGTTTGAAATCTGAATATATTTACATATAGCAGTGTGTCTATCTTTTAATATATGTGGCAGAAGCTTTCGTGAACTAGACACAATTTCTTCTCTGGCACTGAAGGTAGCAGTTCTAGAAGAATGGCTAGTCCAAGATCGTACGAGGCTGAGGAAACCGAAGACCCTAAAAGGGAGTTAAAAAACCCAACGATGATAGTTGGGGAGAAAGAGTCCATTTTTGCCGGGGTTTGCACCATTAGTGGCTGCAGGGCTTCTGCACATTCCTTTCCTGACAACCACAATGCTGAGGAAAATACTTCACCTGATGATTTTCAATTTGTAAGATAACTGAAAATCAGTGGAGAGCCCAGAAATCTGGATGCTTTGGGAGCCAGGAAAAGACATTCAACTTCGCCCTGATCTGAAAACTTTGCCGAATGAAAAGTCTCAAAAGAAGCGGAGGACCCTTCGCGCTGCGGAATGAGTTGCAACTCGAACAGCTTTGGATCGCGCACCGAGGCCGGAGTGACGTCCCGACGGACCGCGAACGAATCGCCTGGCGGGAGGGCGGAGCGCCCGGAGTTTCGCCCTGCGCCAAGATGGCGGCGGGCAGTGGAGGTTCCGGGCGGCGGCGACGTGGGGCGCTGCGGCTGCTGATGCGGGTCGGGTCGGTGCTGCTCACACGTTTCCCTTTCTGGCACTGCTTCAGCAGCCTCCTCCTCAATGCCGAGCGCGCCGAGCACCGCAGGTGAGCGAGCGTGGGAAAAGGGGCCTCTAAGCATGTGCAGAATGCCGGTAGGGGAGTTGGATCGCATCTCTAGATGGCCATAAGTCTCGGTACTTCAGGGGGTAATAGGAGTGAGACTGACAGAGTGGGGTGGGTGGACTGTAGTAGTGGAAGGAGGGTGCGTTTGAGGGCCACCGGCGGGGGATGGACCCAGGGAGATAGAGTTGCCAGATCCAGGTTGGAAAATTCCTGGACATTTAGGTGTGGACCCTGGGGAGGTCAGAGACCTCAGTGGGGTACAATGCCATAGAGTCAAACCATAAGTCGGCTGTGACTTCAGAACTTTCCACCACTAGTAGGGCTCAAATCTGACTAATTTTCATCTAAGTGGGGAAAGCCGCCCTGGGCCGTATGGGTAGGGCGGGATATAAATCCCAAAATAAATAAATAAATAAATAAATAGCTATACCTGGAGTTGTGTCTGGGTAGGATGAGAATCCTTGGGCTAAAATACAAAGGTAATGGAGGCTTGTATTTCTTCCCTCCCTTCCTCTATTAACATCTTGGCTTTATTTCTCTGTTCAGGAAACCAGATATTCAGGTCCCCTACCTCTACTTTGATATGGGGGCCGCGGTTCTGTGTGCCAGCTTCATGTCCTTCGGGGTGAAGCGCCGGTGGTTTGCCCTGGGAGCTGCCCTACAGCTGGCTATCAGCACATACACAGCATATCTTGGTGGCTATGCACATTATGGAGACTGGCTGAAGGTGAGGAAGCCCTCCGTTCTCATTGCTTGTCTGCTTCCCAGATGACTTTGACTTCACCAGCGAGGGAAAATAAAGGCGCCGTACAGCTCACGCTGGCATTGAGAAGGTCCCAGATTCAATCCCGAGCGTCTCTACTCAGAGGAAAAAGAAGTGGGTGATGGAACAGATTATTGCTTGTGATACTGGAGAATTGCTTCCGGTCAGAGAGGGTGTCCAGTGATTGCCAGCATAGCATTTGTGAGCACTATGGTACCTGGCATCTGCCTTCTACCCGAACCTTTCCACTCTTCTGCCTTGTCCCTTTTTCAGCTTCCTGTCTTCGTCTCCTCTCACTCTGTTAACATTCCCTCTTTTTCTATGCTTTCCTTTATCAGCTTTCACATTCCTTCCCTTTTCTCTGCTCCCCTGTCTGTCTCCCCTATTAAGTCCCTTCTCCAGCCACCTTTGACACAGTTTCATCAGACGGGGTGGGGGTGGGGGGGGTTATTAATAGTTCTGTGCAGGTACGCAAGAACTGTTTCTGCCTGGACTCTGGCTTTCTCAGTAGCCACTCCTCTCTAATGGAAGTGGCTTCCTGAGGACGTGAGAGAACATCCCAGCCTTGCAGACGTTTCAAAGGCAGGGACTGTCCAATGTGCTCAGGGGCTGTGGCTCAGTGGCAGAGCCTCTGCTTGGCATGCAGATAGCGTTCCTATTCCACAGGCGGCCGGGGGGGGGGATCTCCTGCTTTTTGGGGCTTCTGCCTGCTTCCGGCCAGCTGGCCTGCAGGGGAAACCCCACCCCCAAACAGCAATATCACCATGCAACGTTGCTCTGTTTTGAGGGCAAAACTCTATGGTTTGAGGGCAATTTTACCATAGAGTTTTGCCCTCAAACCAGGGCGTCGCTGTGCAGTGTCCCGACATGATGACATCACTTCCACATGATGTCATCACGTCGGCGACTTTGTTGTTTGGGGGCGGAGCCCCACCCCACTCCTGGAAGGCTCTCTCTGTTTTTTTGCTGGTTTTAAAATGGACGTTTCGTAAGAAGAGCCATGCTGGATCAGACCAAAGGTCTGTCAAGTCCAGCAGTCTGTTCAAACAGTGGCTGACCAGCTGCCTCTAGGAAGCCCACAAGCAGGAAGACTGCAACAGCATCCTCTTGCCTGTGCTGACATAAAGAATCTGACATAAAGAAGCATTGTGTCCAGATCACGGGAGGTAGTAGTCCCGCTCTATTCTGCTATGGTAAGGCCTCACCTGGAGTACTGTGTCCAGTTTTGGGCACCACATTTTAGGAAGGATGTTGACAAGCTTGAGCGTGTCCAGAGGAGGGTAACCAGGATGGTGACAGGGTTGGAATCCAAGTCTTATGAGGAAAGGCTGAAAGAGTTGGTTATGTTTAGCCTGGGAAAGAGAAGGCTTAGAGGGGACATGATTGCAGTCTTCAAATATTTGAAGGGCTGTCATGTAGAAGATGGAGCAGATCTCTCTTGCTCCAGATTGCAAGACTAGATCTAATGGGTGGAAATCACAAGGGAGTCGTTACCAGTTAAATATTAGGAGAAACTTCCTAACTGTAAGAGTGGTTGAGCAGTGGAACAGACTGCCTCAGGAGGTGGTGGATGCTCCTTCGCTAGACGTTTTCAAGCGGAGGCTGGACGACCATCTTTCAGGTATGTTGTAGGGCTATCTTTCGGCTATGCACCTGCAGAGTGTAGGGGGTTAGACTAGATGACCTGCAAGGTCCCTTCCAACTCTTAACATTCTATGATTCTGTGATTCTAATGCCTCTGGTACTGAAGGCAGTAGAGAACCATCACAACTTGTAGCCTCATCCTCTGTAAATTTGGCCACTGCCCTTTTAAAGACTTCTCAGTTGGCCACCATCACCACATTCACTGGCAGCAGTTCAACTTTGTGGTGTGTGAAGAAGTACATCTTTTTGTTTTTGATACTTTAACTGAATTTTTACTATACTTTGTGGTCTCTTTTTTGTATTGTAAACTGCTCTGGGGACTTTGTAGCTGAATGGCGGTCTGTTAATAAGGTAAACTTGTCTCTGTAGACTGTCTGATATTCTTGTCTTTGTGAACACAGCGCATGTTTTTCTGTCCTTGTGTGTGTGCGTGTTAAGATGCAATCCCTCCCAATTGTCAGGATTTGTAGGGTGGTTATCTGCTATGGCTCTCTGTACTTTATTTATTTATTTATTTTGATTTATACACCGCCCTCCCTGGATGGACTCAGGGCAGTGTACAACAATTAGAGGCTATTGTGCTTTTACTAACGAATTTGGTAACTGATCTTTTAATTTTTATCTCCTTTTTTGTCTTGTGCCAAAAAAAGTGTTTTGGTATCTTCCCGAGCAGGCTTCATCTTTGAAACACTAATCTGCTGCTGACTGAAGCAGAAACGTGGGCTGATTTCACACTAGAGCTGCCTCGATGTTGCGCCGCCGCTTGCCCCGATACTATTGGTCAATTTCACACCCGAATCCACAGGGCTGCATTTGACCTGCAGCTTCGCCCGATTTCCTCCGCAGTTTCGTGATCCTCAAAAAACAGGATCACGAAACTGCGGGGGAAATTGGGCGAAGCTGCGAGTCAAAATGCAGCCCCGCAGCTTCGGGGGTTAAATTGACCAATAGTATCAGGGCAAACGGTGGCGCAACATCGAGGCAGCTCTAGTGCGAAATCAGCCATGTTCTCTTTCTCTCTTCCCCCCTCTACCAATAATGACAGTTTTGGCTGTTCAGGGATCTCCATACAGAAAACGCTGTGCTTGAGGCTTCATATTATGATCTTAGAATTTACTGTGTATTTGATGGGTTTTGCTTCCACTTTGTTAACTGGGACCTGCATCTTGTGCCCCCTTGCAGGTGAGGATGTATTCACGGACAATAGCCATTATCGGCGGCTTCTTGGTCTTGGCCAGCGGAGCCGGAGAGATCTACCGCCAGAAACCCCGGAACAGGTCGCTGCAGTCCACTGGACAGGTTTTCATTGGCATCTACCTCATTTGTGTGGTACGTACTCATGAGTATCTCAGACTATGCCCTCTTGCCCAAAAAAGAAAAACAGTCTGCCACCATTGGGGTCATGAGCCTCTTGGTTGAGGTCAGTTAGCGGACAAGTGAGTCCTGCCTGCAGGCTTCTGTGAAGCAGTTTGGGAAATCTGCACCTCTGCGGAAAGAAAAAGAGCAACCGACGGAAGGGTATTTTTTTCATTGGTTTTCTGTGGCACCATCTTGCCTTCAGATAAGCCTTCTGAGTGGATGTCTAATTAGTTTGCTCATTTGGTATGATCATTTGTGACGAAACAGCGTGGGGTGTAGCAGGTTAGAGTGTTGGCTGGGATCAGTAAAACGCCCAGTTGGACCTTTAAGACTAACAAACTTTATAGTAGCATGAGCTTTTGAGAAACACAGCTCTCTTTGTCAGATGCACGGACCCTCCATGCATCTGATGAAGAAAGCTGTGTTTCCCGAAAGCTTATACAGTTTGTTAGTCTTAAAGGTGCTACTGGACTAGGATCAGGGTGATCCAGGTTCAAATTCCCCACTCTGCCATGGAAGTTGGCTGGGTGATGCTGGGCCAGTCATCTATTCTCAGCCTAACCTACTTCACAGGGTTGCTGTTGTGAGGGTAAAATGGAGGGGGGGGGATAATGTCGTAAGCTGCTTTGGGTTTCCACCAGTGTTTCCTCTAAGCTGAGTTAGTGTGAGTTAGCTCACAGTTTTTTTAGCCTCTGGCTGACACATTTTTGTCTTAGCTCAGGGAGGATGGCTTCAGAGCAAACTAATTTATGCAGCAGCCAAATCGCTCACTCACAGCTTTAATGCCAATAGCTCACTAAGTAGAATCTTTGCTCACAAAACTCCACAGCTTAGAGGGAGCATTGGTTTCCACTAGGCAGAGATATATTAAAAAAAAGATCGAAATGTCTAAAAAAATTAAAAATGTGTGTTGGGGGATGGTGTCAGAGTCCCACAGCAATCAGTTCTCGACAACACTCCTTCAGGAGGTTTACGTTTATTGAGTACAGTAAAGGCAGGTCTTCTGAGCATACACTCATTGTCAAGACTAAAAGCAAGTGCGCGTCGGCTAGTGATATACAGAAATCAAAGAGGGTCAGGGGGTGGCCTGGGGCCAATCAGGAGTCGTGCAAAAGCCGGCCTAACCTAACGGGTAAGCATTCCCAGGGAAAAGCAGTAACAAGGTACCAAGGTCACCAGCTCAGAATAACGGGCGATAAGGATGCAGGGAGAAGTGAAACTAAACATTCCAGAGAAACAGACAGAGAAGATTTTATCCAGTGTGCAGCATTCCCCCCCCCCCAGTCCATAGTCCATGGCAGCCGCAGAGCTGACAGATGGTGGCACTCTGTGATGTCTGTTAATGCTCAGGCTAATCTAGAACTTGGGTAAAGAAGGCCCTGGCTCTAATGGCAGAGTTCCTCTTACCCAGCTGAGCTGAATGGGAACCCTTCCTCCAAACCATTCTTCTCCCATGCCCAGGCAACGGTGCAGGTCACATGCTGGTCCAGTCTCCCACTCTTAGTCTGACCTACCTCACAGGGTTGTTTCCACTATAAAATGGAGAAGAGATATTTACTTTTGATGGAGTACATTTATGTTCATCATTTTACATTTCGAACTTTGTAACTAGTCCATTTTGTAGCTACATTATTAGTTTTGCCATTGCTATATACTCAGGATCACGTTTTTGCCTCTCCTGCATACTCACCATTACTTTTAACAAGTAGGTAATATGACAAAAATACACAAGGAAAATCTATTATGTATCTTATAATAAGAAGATTTAAAGAGATGTTTCTCCCCAAAGTCCAGTTTCTTACACACAATTATAGTCAGGATGTTACTGTTTAAAACTAATTCACATTGTGCTTCTTCTTTATTACCATACGTTTGTGTACAGTATTGTAAACTGCTTCTCATTCTAAATTCGTCTCCAGCTTGCAGATTTCATAGTATTTGGCAAGTTTATTTTCCCATTCTTCTAAGCGTTGACAGACCTCTAGTTTCCATTTTGCTGCTTAGATAATTCTAGCTGCTGTCGCCATATATTTGAATATCTCTTCCAAAATCTTTGGTCATTTGTTAGACAGTATACCTCATAGCATATTTTTGGCTTCCATTGGGAATTTGAACTTTAATATATTCTGCACTTTCCCATGTACTGTATATCTTTCTGCTTTTTTACACGTCCACCACATAAGAAAGAAGGTTCGATCTGTTATCTTGACATTTCCAGCATTTCCTTTTGCAGTTTTTATTTGCTTTCTCAACATCCTTTAGAGTTATATACCATCTAAAAAAACATTTTATACCAATTTTCTCTTAATGCCCATAACTGTTCCCATTGATGCATGGGTATCTCTTTAGCATAAACCTTTTCTGAATCAATAAATTGGTGCAGCACTTATGCAAACAGGAATGACGCTCCTAAAGGCTCACCTGGGCTGGTCTCCTTTCCTTTATGCACTTTCAGGCCTACTCCCTTCAGCACAGCAAGGAGGACCGTCTGGCCTATCTCAGTGGCCTCCCCGGTGGGGAAATCGCCTTACAGCTTCTCTTCGTTCTCTACGGCATCCTGGCCCTCTCCTTCCTGTCCGGCTATTACATCACCCTGGCGGCCCAGATCCTGTCGGTCATCCTCCCGCTGGTGGTCCTCTTCATCGATGGCAACTTGGGATATTGGCACGACTCCCACCGAGTTGAGTTCTGGAACCAGATGAAGCTGATCGGGCAGAACGTTGGCATCTTCGGGGCGGCCGTCATCCTGGCCACGGATGGCTGAGATCAGGCCCTGTGTGAGACCGGAGATTACAGTGCTGTTTTGGGGGCGGGGATGGGGTTGCAGGGAAAAGAAAAGAAGACTAGGATTTGGTTTTTTAAAAATCACCTATTTATATTTTGGAGGGTTTTGTTTTTATTGCATCTTGCGAATGTTTTGCTCCTCTGCCCTGGGCAGCTAAATGAAGAAGATGGGTTTTCTTCAAAATCGAGAGTCATTCCTGTATTCCTTCCCCCTCCTGCTCTCGAGGACAGTCCTGTGGATCTCCGTCTTCTAGTAGCCGAGAGTTTGTGAGCAAGCAGTTAAGTCCATGAAGACTGTTGGGCTAAAGCTAATGTTAACTCTGGCTGTGGGTTGTCGCTTCCTGCCCCTTCAGTCGAGTAGAGGAGATTTGGCTTTGCCGTGCCGCCTGGTATCCTGCAGAGGGTGAGGCTGGATCTCCACTGCCACCTTGGGTAGCCAGAGGCAGAATTAGAATTCGACTCTCGTTTGCTTGCTTATTCAGGAGAGCTTAGATGAGCTAACTATGGGTGAAGCTGTTAAGAGATCTGGGCCTTTTGAGAACGTCCCAGGATTTAAAGCACGGGATTGTTCTCTTAAGATCTTGTCAGGCAGTCTTATATTCTTATGGACAGTGTGATAGACAATGGCCGGGTAGAATCAGCTTCCTCTGGAGTAGGTCTGGAAGTATACAGCAAGAAGCTTCTGGCCTTCACTCTTACGTAATATGCCATATGTATACAGGCTGCAGCCAATCCCAGTGCATGGATTAACCCTCCGTTGGTTTTGTTTAGCATAGCATGGTGGGAAAGGCAGGACTAATCCTGCACCTGGTCCAGGCGAGCGAAAAGCTGCTTTCCAAATGCTGTGCCACAGAGATGGCCTTTCAGCCACATTGAGGAAAGAATTGTGAGAAAGGGATGCCCCTGAACCGCGTGGGGCTGAGAGCGGCCTTTGCCCCTCACCCTGGAGGTGTCTGGATCATTGGGAACCCTGGGTAAGAAGAAGAAGAGCTGGGTTTTATACCCTGCTTTTCTCTACCCTAGGGAGTCTCAAAGTGGCTTACGATCACCTTCCCTTCCTCTCCCCACAACAGGCACCTTGTATATAGGGCTGAGAGAGTTCTGAGGGAACTGTGACTGGCCCAAGGTCACCCAGCAGGCCTCATGTGTCTCAAAGCAGCTTAAGATCACCTTCCCTTCCTCTCCCCACAACAGACACCCTGTGAGGTAGGTGGGGCTGAGAGAGCTGTGAAGGTCACCCAGCAGGCCTCATGTGGAGGAGCAAGGAATTAAACCCAGTTCTCCAGATTAGACTCTGTGGCTCATAACCACTACACCATGCTGGGTTAGATATACTCTTGGAGCAAGGAGCTCCTGATGGCTCAGGCGTTACTGCCGTGGTGTCTTCCCCTGGGGCTGTGCTTACAGATTGACATTTCCTGTCGATCAGGAATGCTGAGCGCAAGATGCAGGCCATAATCTGCAGTCCCATTTACCTTTATTAGTAGAAATACATGGGTCAGGTAAAGCTTCCAGGAAAACACCCCTCATCCACTCCTCAGCATCTTGCTGCGGAATTTGGGATTTAAAAACTCTGTAAAACAAAATGAGACGTTATAGGCCCGGTGACACAGATATAGCTGCCGATTTTTAAAGGAAGATTCAGGTGGGTAGCTGTGTTGGTCTGAAGCAATAGAACAAAGTTAGATTCCAGGGGCACCTTTAAGACCAACAAAGTTTTATTTGGGGTACAAGCTTTTGTGTGCATGCACAATTCAGCAGATATCTGAAGGCATAAGCTTTCGTGTGCATGCACATTTCTTCAGATATCTGAAGACGTGTGCATGCGTACGAAAGCTTATGCTCAGAATTAAACTTTGTTGTCTTAAAGGTGCCACTGGACTCAGACTTTGTTCTATTTTTTTACTCACTGCTTTTTAAATTGCTAGGGTGTTTGGACTAAAAACGAGGTGTTTCTGTGTTTAGGGTGCTCCTGACACAGAGGAGCTGAGATATTAGCGCAAGGGTTTTTTGAAATTAGGTGTCAGGAAATCGTGACCTTTGCTGATTAGGATCCAGGCATTTCAGACCCCTGAGATGACTGAAACAGACCGTAAAGCGCTTCTCCACCTTCAGGCTCCATTCATGAGCAGTAAGTCCTGTGAACGAAGCATAGTGAAGAACAGAGCATCGTAGCTGCTTCTCTATGAAATACCCGTTCCTTCTGCGGTGTTGGAAAATGCTGTTCAGTCACAGCAGATTTATGGCAACCCTGTAGGGTTTTCAAGGCAAGAGACGTCCGGAGGTGGCTTGCCACTGCCTGCCTCTGCATCACAACCCTGGTATTCCTTAGAGGTCCCCCATCCAAATACCAGCCAGGGCCAACCCTGCTTAGCTTCTGAGATCTGACGAGACTGGGCTAGCCTGGGCTATCCAGGTCAGAGCTTGTTCCTTCTATGTCTCCACAAAATCAGGTTGGATGCTTTTTAAAATTATTATTACAGGGTCCAAAAGATGCAACAAGTGGTGCATGTCTCAAAACATCCGGGTTTCCCCCCCCCCCTTGAAAGAACTACAGAGAGTGGGGAGGGGTGGGGAAGATCTGAAAAAGGAACTTTCCCCGGAAGATTTGACTCCTCCGAGGGTGACCACCCTCCGGCAAATGCAATACGTGTGCTGAGATGGGCTTCTGCAAGCAGATTGCCCTCTCTTCTGGGGGGTGCGAGAGGCTGCCGAGGGGAGGGTTCTGGAATCAAAGGCCATTCAACTCAACACTACACTCCTCCTCCTCTGCCTTTCCCTTGTCGGCAAGTAATAACTGGCTACTGTGTCTTCCTTCGCAGTCCCAAATCAGTATGTGCTTTGGGAGGATTAAAAGAAATTTAAAAACTCACGTCTGAATCTCCTTCCCAATTTCTTTGGATGGGCTGCTTGTCGGATTGTTGCCTTCTGGACATGTGCTGTGTTCTGGTAAAACTAAACATCACAGATTGGGTTAGAGCCGGTGGTGGATTTCTGCTTCTGGGAGAGTTCTTCCACAAATGGAAATGCGGCAGGTCAGAGTTGCGTTTCCGCTTGTACAGGGTCTTGTGGTACCAATTTTTGGGCCCTGCAGTATATAGGGAGGAAAGAGATGGGTGCTGCACAGAAATCTTGCACAGGTGGAACTGTGCCACACCCATTTCTGCTGCTTGTGCATTGCTGGATCCAAGCCAACATGTTGCTTTATAGAGAAGCCAGAAGCTTGTGTTCTGTACATCAGGGAATGGCTGCTAGGCCTGACGGAGCTTCGTAATGCCACGTGCTGCATAAAATTTTTTTGGACAGCGGCTTTGGAATGTGAGTCTAAGGAACATCTAACTGTTTACCTGCCCAGCTTTCTCCCCCTTTCAGTTCTCTTTTCAGTGTGCGTCAGAGGTATGTATGGAGAACTGCTTCGCTAAAGCAGTTTCTTCGGGAATGTCAACTGTTAAAAAAATGCAGTTCTCTTTAAAGAAATGTTTTTCCTAAGGAAGTACCCTGGGATTTGGCGCAGTGGCAGAGAGTGGGCACTAGGTGGCTCCCTGATCTTTTTTTTGCCATCTGGTTGCAGCTGACTTAGGGCAACCCAGTAGGATTTTCAAGGCAAGAGGCGTTCAGAGGTGGTTTGCCGTTGCCTGCCTCTGCGTAGTGACCCTGGTATTCCTTGGTGGCCTCCCATCCAAATACTGACCAGGGCTGACCCTGTTTAACCCTCCGATATCTGACAAGCTCCGCTTATCCTGGGCTATCTATAGATCTAGGGTGATCTCTCTCCAGCGATGTTTAAAGGGGATGGTGTATTCCCACAACTTCGTTTCTACCTGCCGCCCCTCCATAAAATGGCAGAAAAGGTTAGTGCATAACTGTTTTAAATAAGAGGTTTAAATCTTGCTAACCGGATCCCTTTTCTTCTCCCAGTCCCAGTCATGAAAGGACTAATTGTGATTTTTCTGGTAATGGGGGGGGGGGCTTTGCACGTGCTCAGGGGCATCGCTGTTTCACATCTCGCAGGTTAGCGAAAGATCCTTGAATTAAGCTTTGGTGAGCCCTACTTCTGAAATCACAGCACAAGGGATCCAAAAAAGGCTGGCAACTCGTAAGGTGCAAACTTGTATTTCATAAAAGATAAAACACGTAATCCCATATAAGCACCCTCTCTAACGTCCGGAGTATGCCATGCATGTACTCCTTCAACTGCCAGGATTGCAAGTATCTACTGCCTTGTCGAGAGTCGATTTGCCCTCCCGCTGGAAATGTCAATGCCCACCTGTTAGTGAAGTGTGAGAGGGGTTGCAATACTTTTAGGTGACTGAATGACTGCAAAATCCACTAGTAGGAGTTAAACCAGATAATCTGTTTTAAGTGGAGCCACCACTCAACACTACAGCATCTTTTGAACATTAGGGATTGTGCAGTGACAGTGAGCTCCCATCTCTAGTTCCAGCTCCTGCCAACCTAGCCGTTCGAAAGCAAGAAATTGCACGTAGATAAATAGGTACCACTTCGGTGGGAAGCTAACAGCGTTCCCTGCGCCTTGGTGTTTTGTCATGCCGGCCACATGACCACAGAAACGTCTTCGGACAGTGCTGGCTCTTCAGCTTTGAAACAGAGATGAGCACCGCTACCCTAGAGTCGGATTTGACTGGCTTTCGAGCAAGGGAACCTTTACCTTTACTAGTGACAGTGTGCCACGACCATGTGCCAAGTGCCTGTCCCTCACTGGCCCCCCTGTCAGAGTGATGGACTTCTAGACAAGGTCATAGCTGTTTTTAGGAACGAAGCACTTCAAGGATGTGCTCTTGTGTTATGGTGCACATCATGATTAAACGGTGCTCAGAGAGGAGCGTTGCTTCTGTCTCAGTGTACAGTTCTGGGTGAAATTGGGATGTTCGCTTTGGAGCCAGCTTGGTGTAGTGGTTAAGAGCTGTGGACCCTAATCTGGAGAGCTGGGTTTGCTTCACTCCTCCACATGAAGCCAGTTGGGAGACCTTGGGCCAGTCGGAGCTCTCTCAGAGCTTGCTCAGCCCCCACCAACCTCACAGGGTGTCTGTTGTGGGGAGAGGAAGGGAAGGCGATTGTAAGCCACTCCGAGACTCCTTCGGGTAGTGAAGAGCGGGGTATAAAACCAACTCTTCCTCCTCCTCCTCCGATTGCTAGGGGAAAATTGTAGTGTTTGCCTTTATACTAGTTAGATCCAATCAAAGGATACAATCTTGACAGAATAACTAGGGATGAGGATCCTAGAACCAGTGTGGGGGAGTGGTTAGAGTGTCAGACTTGGATCTGAAAGGCCCCAGTTCAAATCCTTATTCTGCCGTGGAAGTTGATTGGGTGATTAGGGGCCGGTCACCCTTACAGCCAAGCCTACTTCGTGGGGTACTTGTGAGGATAAAATGGGGCAAAGTAGAATATTGTAGGCCACTTTGGAGAAAAAGTAGAGTAAATAATAAGTGGTGGTGGAAATGCCATCAAGTCATGGCAGAGATATGGAAACCCCTTATGGTTTATAAGGCAAGAGATATTCAGGGGTGGTTTGCCATTGCTTGCCTCTGTCCTGGTATTCCTTGGTGGTCTCCCATCCAAGTACTAACCCGGGCCAACCCTGCTTATCTTCCGAGATCTGACAAGATCAGACTATCTTGGGTATCCAGGTCAGGTTAATAAGTAAATAATAATAAAGTCTTATAGCATGCAAATTGAAATTTTTGTATGGCATTGTGTGTGGGATAGCCAGGAGATCCCCAGAGGAATTGTTTGGCTGCCAAAACTGTAGCTATTTTTTGGCACCACTAGGTGACAAGCTATGGTTATTTTTAGTCTGAGAGTGCTGTGACTTGCCTAAGGTTGCCCAGCTACTAGGGGTGTGTAAAAATAAAATAAAATTCGGCCTGATTCGGTTCGGCCGAATTGGGCCGAATGACCCCTGAATGCCACTCTCGTCAGCTTAAGCTGATTTGGGGCTCATTCAGCTAGCCGAATCAGATTTGGCCAGGGGCGCCCGGGCAAGCCAAGGGAAGGCAGTTAAA